CTTGGCTACTTACATTTTGGATGTGTTTATTCCAGGTCAGGTTTGATGATATGGTGACACCAAGGTATTTTGCATGTGGAATAGTTTCGAGTACTTGTCCGTGTAGCATATACTCTGTGGGGATTTGCGTCTTTGACCTGGATATGTGTATTACCTGGCACTTGCTCGGGTTAAATTCCATATCCCACTGTTTTTCCCATAACTGTAATCTGTCAAGGTCTTTTTGGAGTCTGTATGCATCTTGTAGTTTACTTACCGCTAGGTAGATGGCAGTGTCGTCTGCGAAGAGACGCACTGTTGATGTTATATTTAGTGGCAAGTCATTAATATAAATTAAAAATAAAATTGGGCCGAGGACCGAGCCCTGGGGTACACCTGATGTTACCGGGACTTTTGATGAAGTAGCTCCCTCCAAGACAACTTGCTGTATTCTGCCTGTAAGAAAGCCTCTGATCCATTTGAGAGTTAGGTGCTGTATCCCGTATTGATGAAGTTTGAATAAAAGTTTTTCGTGGTTTACCTTATCAAAAGCTTTACTAAAATCGAGTAAAATTAAATCTGTTTGCTCACCTGTTTGTAGGTTTTTGAAAAGATCCTCCATAAGCATGACTAGTTGGGTTTCACAACTACGTTTTTCTCTAAAACCGTGCTGTAGTTCAAACATAATATTATGTGTGTCAAGATGTCTTACCAGGTTTGATGTAACAATATGCTCCATGACCTTGCACAAAATACAGGTAAGTGAAATGGGGTGATAGTTTGAAGCTCTATTTTTCTCACCTTTCTTGAATAATGGAGCGACGTATGCCGAGGTCCAATGGGATGGGAGCTCACCGGTTTGGTATGATGATCGAAATAATACCTGTAAAATGGGTGCCAGTTCACTATGGAGTTCTTTAAGAACTATTGGTTTGATGGCGTCAGGACCGGCCGCTTTATTGGGAAAGCTTTATATATATATTATATTCTACTCATACGTGGATTTCTTACCGGAATTACATTACCGGAGACTTCAGTGCCGAGACCTAGGATAAGGTTAGTGTGTTTGTTGTATGATTACTATGTAAAGATTTGTGTGAAAGATATTCAGAATAACATACTATATATGTGTCATTTAATAAAATCAGTCTATGTGGTACACAAAACTTGAGTTTACTTAATACTTCATGTTAGTTCTACAAAGTACGCTACCAGTACTACCGGTTCAAGTCGAGCGTTACCAGCTGGCTTTTGCGAGTCTTGTGTAAGATCGTTGTTTTGCGCTACCACCAAACGATCTAGTCTAGAACTAGACGGAGACAATATTGAATGAAGTGACTAGGCGGCTCCGTTATATTAGCTCTATCCCAATATATTCCCACAAGCAGCTCTGTTACTATATATAGGTATGGTGAAAGAAAAATAAGTATTATACATACTAGACTAAAACATCAATGTAGCACTCTTAAAGAGTATCTCTTCCGTGTTAATTAAGTTCAGGTTTCTAGTTGTGTAAATTGTGGGCATCATTGTGAAAATGCTTATCATTTTGAGTGCCAATTTTATTAAAATGCTCGTGCAGTAATGCTTCAAGCTTTTAATAACTCAAATATGCAAATAAGTTAAATGTGTTACTTTTTGGCAATGAAAACCTGGCTTTGGATGTAAATTGTAATTTATTCGGACATGTGCAGTCCTTCATAAAATCCAGCGGCAGATTTTGAACATATGCAGTATCCATTACAATTTACATGAAATTGACTTCTTTCAATTGTTCAATTTGAAATCAATTGTCTATGTCATCACTTGTATATATATGAAATATTTTGTTGATAGGAGATGGCTTTATAAGTTGCTATGACTTGTGCCAAATCCTTTGTATCTATTTTGGACAATAAAATATTTTAAAGCCCGGTAAAAATATATATACTTTTTGGGACTTGTGCAAGCCCTACCTATCTATACACAGTTCCTTCCCCTGTATTTCAGAACGAGGTAGCCGTCTGTCTGTGTGTCCTGCCAACTCATGAAGTGTGTCACTGTCACTTACGTTCTCGAGTAATAGGCTACTTTCGATATTTCTACTTGTTAATCATGGATGCCCCGTCAGGTTTCCGACAGCGTAAGTCAAAGAGTAGGTTCAATTTTACGTAACTTTGGATGTTGTGCCTTTGGCAGTGCTTCTATAATTTTTAGACAACAGGTAGACAGGTCCAGTAACGTTACGTTTCGGAGCCTGGGAAATATAGAATCGTCTGCCTAGTATGCAACATTTTGCCTGTATCCTATTCAGTATCCTCACATAGCATACGCAGTTACTGTTGTTTTCAGTGTATTGTTTTCGTCTTGATTCTCATAAGGAAATCTATTGGTTTTTTTTTATATATTTTTTATTATAGTTGTCGGTCTCTTATGTGTTTGAACCAATAAATGATGTTTACAAATACATTTCAGTAGCCTTTGTCAGAACTATACTGTAATTTTGTCGTACATTAGTAAGTGTCTGAAATTATATATGACCCACTGTTAAAGAGCTATGTCGATTTATTATTTACTATTTAGTTCATTTTACCCACCCAAAGAGAAATGGGGGGGGGGGGGGGGGTTATACTGGAATCAGTCTGTTGTTTCACAGACAGACAAATGCTGCTAATGCATATACTGTATATTATGACGAGTTTTGGCTCTATTGTCAGTGTATTCAAAACATCACAATTCTTGATTAAATATTGATTTATTTCATGCATGTACATATTCTCTGTATGTTGTCGGACTATATTAATCGATAGCCTATTAAAAGATATGTTTTTGTAATTATTTCCAATGTTAAACTGTCTGTGTAACCAAAATCAGCAGTCCATAAAACAAATATACAGATTCATTGACATAAAACTATAATATTGTGAAAATGGCATAGAGAAATATACTTCTTACTTCAGGTCCAGTACACTCTGCCGATTGAGCTATATAGCTGTAAAGACCTAGCTCTATTGACCTATCTGATATAGGTCTTTTGAGCTATTTTCATGTGATTTTCTTTTTTAAGGAAAACGAAACAGTCGCTTTTAAAAGAAGATTTTATCATTAGGTAAATAACAAAAGACATCAAATATAAGCATTCTTTTTAAAAAATAATGATGTAAAAAAAAACTAGAAAATTTTAACATTTATGAAAAGTGAAAATAAACACCTAAATGTATGCTTTTTGTAGTCAACATTACCACAAACCTTATTGTTTTATGCGACTTTCCTTTGATTTAATGAAAATTGAAATCTGAGAAAATATAGCTCAATACAGCTATAATTTATAGGTGAATATAGCTATATATGTCTTTATAGCTATATAGCTCAATCAGCAGAGTGTACTGGACCTGTACTTTGTATATCATTCCAATTTTTTCGGCTGTTGTCCTACAAGTGTCCTGTTTAGGGTACACTGATGTTACAATTCCAAGTCTTTCTGAGGAGACTGGGACTCTCCTCCCCAGGGATGTAGCATGTACCCTCCCTGACTGTACGTGTGTTTTACATGACTTGAGTAGATCACAAGAAATAAAAAAAGTTCCTGCCGCCACCCCTTTCCAGAATGAATTTGCTCCTGGTTTGGTAGTTCAACATTTCTCACTTGTATAAATGTAAGAAATGAATGTCCTATTATATAAGGCTATATAAATTCCATTTGTTGGTGTTGTTTTGTTCTTCTGTTGTCAGCTACATAATCAGCATATATCTACATGTTCCAAGTATTTTATTTGAATAATCACTAAAACACTAAGAAGAGAATGTTGATGAGAATTAAGAATGAAATTAAAATTCTGTAGTTTGTTCACAATTGAATTCAGAAAACAAATTGTTTTGGACAAGAAATTTTATCTTCGAATTCCTTAATCAATGATGGAAATTCAATTTATTGTATATGTTCTGAACTGGAATAAATTCAAGATAAACTTTATCACATCTTGTGTGCAACCAGGTTATGCAAGATCTTATGCAGAAATACTAGATATAAACATTGGTAGTCGGACGAAAGGCCACATTATTGAACAACATTGTGACATCAGACTATTGAAATATAATCACAATGTAATACCACAGACTTGGATAACATCTAATTCCGTGGTAATACCACCAGCAGTGGCATCATAAAAAAAAACAGTTTGTACAATAGAATCTATGTACTAGACCATCAAATATGTAACAGTTGATTTATTAATTATGCAATACATCGGACTGTGTGATTATATATACTACACATCAGATGAAAACGTGCAGTGCAACTATATATCGCATAACAGTAGTTAAAATATGCAGCAAAACAATATACAAAGCCTATACTAATTAGCTCCACATATTTAGTACCCTTCAGCAAATATCATACAATTTTATTGTTTATTTGGAATTCCTGTCTTTGTTAGCTTGTTTCCTGTCCCTTTGATATTAATTGTTTGTAATATTATTATGTTAAAATATCATTTACACTACGGTAATGTAATTATTTACAAAGTAACTATACGTAAACATTACAAAATGTAACTGAAATCCTGAAGCACCTTATAATTGCATGCATCCAAAGTTACCAAATTGATGAATGCCTTCTCTCTGTGTAGCTGTATCTTTTGTACATGTGATAACCTCATGATCAGGATAACTATAATGAAATGGATTCCTTCTCTGCCAGTACAATATTAATACGGTGGGGAAAAAATCATTAACATGACAACTATTCATATTTTGATGCTCTGTTCATGTTAAATTTTGATTCTCTTATTTTAGCATTTTTTTGTTCCACTATACTTTGTAGTATATACAAATATATAACTTGTAATCAAAAATTGATAAAGATTAAAATAAAAATTATAAAGGTATTCAAAAAATGCACCATAATTATTCTTGGTTTAAATCCTACTTTGTGATATGTTCCATTCTGGTATGGAATGCATAAAGATTTTTACCTGCAAGATGAAAATTTAAAAATCTTTATTGTTCATACCCAGATTTGTAATTTTTTTAATTTCCTGAATTTTCTTTTGAACTCCATTGCTTTTGTTTGGCATGCTATTGATTCTTTTGCCATTGATTCTTTTGCCATCTGCTGACTGCTTTCACCAAAATTATAACATATATGAATATATTTACTACAGCTGCTGTATATAGACCAATGTAGCAGATATTATTCATGAACAGATATAATAGATTTCTATATTTTTGTTTTGTGCTATGTATTATATTTTGTTGAAGATTTTAAATTCAAGTAAAAATAATTGTGGAAGAGAATACCTATGTAAGTAGGTATATATACACATCTAATTGATGTGATAACGTGTATGAATTATAATGTGTGTAAATTACAGCAAGTAGCCAGAAGCGGCGCCCTAAAGGTCACAAGGGCAAGCCACAGCTGTTTGAGGACACCAGTATGCAACAGCCCCCACCCCAGCAGGGGTATGGGGCACCGCCACCACCACCACCAGGGGCAGGTAACTTTTCTTCTCTTATATCAAAACCTCATGTCATTTTGAAGATGTGAAGAGGATAGGATGTCCCTTCAAATAGTTGCTGGTTTTGTCAATTATAAAGTGTTGTTTATCCTTAAAAAAATGTTTTGCCTATTTCAACCGTTAAGTTTTAAAGGAAGTATATGTACCATTAGGCTGAATTATTCTGACGTTTTATCAACTTTTTTCATATCGGTCTGTCGTCAGATTATCGACGACAGACCGATATGAAAAAAGTTGATAAAACGTCAGAATAATTCGGACTAATGTACCATAACCTCAAAAATCACAGACTTGCATATTTTGTTGAAATGGTAAATTCTGGATTATCGAATGATTATGATAAATTGAATACATACACTAAATAACAAGTATACGTGCATAGGAAAAATGGTTGTTTGTGACTAAAGTTAAATTATAATTTCAATGTTGGATTATAGGAATTTCATTTCAAGGTTAAATTGTAAGGAATTTTATTTCAATATGATGTCGAACCAAGATTTACTATCGTGTGTTAAAAATGTTGTAATGCCTAAACATTTTGTGCATAAATTTGTGAAACAGAACATGCATTAACATTAACTATAGCATGTAGAGTGTATCAACATAGCCAAGTAAAAGCACTTAATTTATCAAATATTTGAAGAAAATAATCATTGATTTATTATTAATGTGCATATAGAAAATAGAAAAATGGCTCAGTTGCCATTTAGTCCAGGATATTTCAATTCTAAAATCATCACAATCCTGTTTAGCACCATAGACTACTGTAAAGTTGGTATATTTATCAAAATATGCCATTATTAATTGGCCTATTCTGTCTTTGCATATTGCAGAGTTATCTTCTCTTGTGAGCAGGTATTGATTGTTACGTCATTGGTTTGTGTAAGAAAATTAGGTTGTTTTCTCAAAAAATTATGACGTTACTCTCCCAAACAAATGACGTAACAATCAATACTTGCTCACAAGAGAAGATAACTCTGCAATACGCAAAGACGAAATATCATCACCTTTACATACATGTGTTATTGAACACATCAAGCTTCCTGTAAATAGCATTAACCGTATAATGATATTACATGTACCACTCAAATATTTCAGTGAAGAACATTTGTTATGAAAATATGATTTCTTAATATGCTGAAAAAAAAGTTAATTTCTCACATCCAGGTAATATTGATATTACAGGGTATGGTAACTATGGTTACAATGTTAACAATAGTTACAGAGCGCCAGCCTCAGGTATTTGTATTTATGGTTTTAAAACTGAAAATATAATCATTACTCACATCTGGCAGTTTAAAGAGCTAGAAATATATTCCCAACTCACATAATATTGAACCACAGTGTACAATTGAAAGCAATTGTATCATAATACATGTACATTGTCATGGAAGTTGTATACAAATGAATTTACCATGTATAATCTCCTACAGAAAACTAAAAGGCTTTAGCAGTTGTACATGTCCATTCAAATTTCTCATTTTCATGTTCATCAACAAGTGTCACGACTGACGAGGTATACTTTTTGTGAAATTTGGCACATTTAACACAACGTTTGGAATTCATACCATTTTGTGTTTCTAGCAAATGTTCCTGAAGCTGTGAAATAGGGGAGAATATAATAGTATTGTACATTGTTAGTCTCCCTGATGTTGTAGTGACATTATCTTTCTAACTCCTTCACTTATGATTGCATTTCCATGAAATTTCATACAGAGGTTAAATGCAAAGGCAGCTTGAATGAGTTTATGTTTTTGATATTTAACTTCAAAGGTCAAAGTTGTTATAACTATTTATAGAAAAATAATTTGTCATTGATCTAGTACCTTGGTTTATGGTTGGATTTCCATTAAGCTTATCTAACATGGCAGCAGGAACATACATATCTTTCAGTCTTTTGACACTCTCTACTTTTATCTCGTTCAGAATGGTAAAACTACAGGCTAGTTATTTCAAATACCTGTTACCAGTACATGTATGCAATATCTACAACACCCATATAGGGGCATACAAATCATATACATCAATTAAGGTGACTGCTGGCCATTTATTAATGATTACCAGAAGTTTACTCTATATTAATTTAGTCTTAACTGAACTGATCTTTCTGATGTGTGGATATGTAATACATATGATACACGTGATATGATTTGGTGTCTGCTTTACTATCAGATGGTATTTATTTCCTCTGTCATTATGGAGGTAACATATAGTAACATGCCGTATTAAAACATCAGCTTAGCTTTTCACAACTACCCGGTATACCTAATACCTATACAATGTATCGTCAATATGTACTGGCTTACCTTCAATACTCTTGTAGTATATACAAGTATACTGATACAAATCTAATTAAATCAGATCCTAACTTACCATTCCTCCACAATAATGTCAGATCAATTTGAGAATAGTTTAGATCCTAACTTACCATTCCTCCACAATAATGTCAGATCAATTTGAGAATAGTTTAGAGGAATGGACCATTTACCTAATCTTAATTATATTGATATATATACTGACATATAGCTTCAATGTCTGACAGTATATGTACTAATTGACATAATAACCTAAATTTTACTTGCATTATTATACCTTAATGTACCAGTCCAGTAGTTCGTTATACCCAGTATGGTACATATAACAGCACATAAAATATCACTATATCTCAGATTTATATATTGTATATATACCAGGTAGCATATTTATGAACATAGTAGCATTTGTTAAGAATATTAACAATTCATCAGATGTTAAGTTTAACATTCAGTACAGCTTTAACATATGATTTATATCTGGTTAATGTGGAGTATAAATATCTCAGAATCAGTGTTTAATTGAATTATAAATATAAAATGGGTTCTTCATGATTTGCGATATTTCAAGTGTTTTCTTTTTTGTTATGCCTTAAATAGTACTAAATACCGGTATATGTTAACAGTATGTCATATGAAGCAGTGTCGATACATTTTGATGGGTTCAAAATCCCACTCAAAAATTCACAACGATAATGCAGTCTTGTAAAATGCTGACTTTAGTACGATAAACTTATATGGTCCCAGTCTATGTTAAAAAAAATAATGTTAGTCTGGCACTGATATTTTTCAAGTTTCTTTTGTGGGTAATATTAATGGATAAATCATTACTTTTGGGCTAGAAAAAATAACCAATACTTTAAGATTTGGATATTGTCGAAAATCAGTGAGAACCCATATTATACCTCATTCAACCATGATTATGAATGTTTTTGACAGCTGAATACCATATTTGACCTGAAATAAGCCCCCACTCGCAAATAAGCCCCCTCCCAACATTTGACAAAAGATAAACATTTTTTTGCCGTTTGTTGAATTTTAATTTTTAACATCAGATGTTTTCTTTACAGAAATGGGACAAGGGTATGACCAGGGTGGCTACGGGAATCCAGTTATGCAGTTTCCTGGGCAACAGTTTATAAACGACCCAATGATGACCAATATGGCTATGCAGTATGGCTCTTCACTGGCTGACCAAGGCAAAGATTATGTGAACAAAAATGTAGGTCTTTATTTTTGACTATTTTATACAAGGCTTTCAGTAGACCTTGAGAGTGTGTATTTTATCATTTCCGAAAATAAGCTTGGGTTTGAAATGACGTGTCTAATTGACAAATCGAATTTCAGAGAATAGACCATTTGACTTCTGAAATTGCTAAAATGTCAAAAGTCATCTAAAAGACCTACATTGTAATTATATCATTGAATTTGTTCTAGTGTATGTGGATAGTGATTGGTTTGATTTAGTAGTTGGTGGAATTTTGTTTACAAAATGTCTTTCAGTTGCTAATGTGTTTTTCTTTCCAGCTTGAAAAATATGTGTCAACATCGAAACTGAAGTATTACTTTGCTGTTGATACAGCCTATGTAGGGAAGAAGCTTGGTTTACTGTGTTTCCCATTCTCACATGCAGTAAGTGGAGCACTTATGCGCTGCTTAAAAATTACATGTACAACGGTGAACTAAAAATAAGAGAAAATTATGTTGTTTTGTTCCTTTTTCATATATAAAAAGCTCAATTATCAAAATCTACCTGATCAGTTTGTATTCTTTATGTCACAGGTTCAAATGAATCCTTTTTGATCATTAGTTGTATTTTAGTAACATCATTTGTTTTAATCTATTTTTGTCATACACACAAAATAAAGGGTGATTGTTCCTCATTTCCTGTATTTGTGTGATGATTTGTGATTGCTGTATCTTGAATAAAGTTCAAGTTCAATTTGTTTATTTAAGTGTCACATATCACAATTACATTTATGTAAAATACTTGTACAAAATATAAATCAATTCCATTGGTACATATAAAATACTTGCAGTTGGCTGTTTCCTAGAACTTAAAATATATGTCTTTGATGTGTTAGTAACAATTTTCTCCCGTTTTATAGGATTGGTCAATTAAGTTTAACCAGGATGAGCCTGTAGCGCCTAGGTATGAGGTGAATGCTCCTGACCTGTATATTCCTCGTGAGTAAAGAGTGTTTTAATAATTAATATTTTGTATCACTATGACTGGAAATGTTTGGTAGCAGGAAAAAAGCCAGTTTGTAAAGATTCCAATCTCGCTTAAATACATAATGATATATATATCCTGATAATCGTCATACAGTGTTGTAGGCTTGTGATTAGTCCGAATTATTCTGACGTTTTATCGACATTTTTCATATCGGTCTGTCGTCAATTAACGTCAGAACTCCGGCCCTCTATAATATGCGGGAAATATGCGACCCGCGCCCAGAGCGCACTTCAAACTGATATTTTAGGAACAAAGGCAAAGGTTGTTTGAGGCATGTTATGTATGTTCATCTTGTGTATAAAGAATAGATATTTCGATCCATGTGCGACATGTGTGTGAAAGTGACGATTTGTTCCTAAAATATCAGTTTGAAGTGCGCTCTGGGCGCGGGTCGCATATTTCCCGCATATTATAGAGGGCCGGAGTTCTGACGTTAATCGACGACAGACCGATATGAACAAAGTCGATAAAACGTCAGAATAATTTGGACTAGCTTGTGATGTGTGTTATATCATCAGCCCTGGTAGTGGTAGATTGAATGGTAAAATAGTAAAAGAGATACCCAAAGCTAAAATAGTAAAAGAGATACCCAAAGCTAAAATAGTAAAAGAGATACCCATAGCTACCCCAGTTGATTGAATTATTACCATAGTTTTGATTAGATTAATAGCTACCCAGGTTGATAGAACGCTTTTAAATTTTCTATGAGATATATAGCTGCCCAATGATCAACACAGGTTAACCCTTTCACCACTGTAGACCATAATGGACTCATCCATATCAGTGCATGGTAGAGTCTACTAAAGTTACATAGGGGTGAAAGGGTTAAGGAGATAAATAGCTAGCCTGGTTGATTGATTAGGTTTAGGGGATAACTCTACTGTATTTTGAAATTTGCGGCCGTATATCGCAATTACACTGTCGCTAATTGAGTTTTATGCAAATTGAGCAAACGGATATTTGCGACAGTATAAATTATAATCTTGATATACCGCCGCAAATTTCAAAATACAGTAGGGTTATCCCCATTCTATTTTCTATAAGCCAAAACCACCGAAAGAAAGGAAGTTTTAAGATATTTTTTAGTGTTTTCTTCAAATTCTGGGTCACTCTGCTGTGGATTGGTGATGTCAGGAATATTCAAAGTGAGGCGGAATCACATTGACCTTTAGGGGTCACACTATTGTTCGCGACATTGTAAATGTAAATATTCAATTTCATGACGTGTCGGTATTAGTTGGGGTCACTGACATCATTTACAATCGCCATCCGGGCTTTATATGCAATTCTCATTTGTGGACATCATATCGTGGCTTTACTGTCGCAAACTATTTTGATTGACCAATCAATTGTCATGTTACATCTCAAATGAATTATAATTAGGTTTTATATTGTTTAACATCCTTTTAACAGCTAAGGTCATTTAAGGAAGTGTGGTTGATTGAATACTTTTTTTTTTTTTAATGATATAAACAGCTATCCAGGTTGATTCAATGCATTTAAATATTTTAATGATATAAATAGCTATCCTTTTTGATTCAATGTTTTTGAATATTTTAATGAGATAAATAGTTATCCTGGTTGATCGAATGGCTAAATGTTTTACTGTCCATGTGAAATACAAATTTTCTTAAAGGACATTCGGTCACAGCAGGTAACTATCCCAAGCTTGCCAGACCGAAACAACTTTTATAAGACATTTCGGTCAGGTAAGCTTGAAACACTTACCTGGTACCAGTCCGGGGGAAAAAAGAAAAATAAACTTAGAACAATTGTTTGATGTGCACAATAATTAAACAAAAACACTTAAACATCCTTTAGAAAGTTTAAAGACAACTCTTCAGGTAGAAAAGGTACGCTGGACATTTGGCTGGAATTACGATAGTGATTGCTGGACCAGCAGTAATTTTTTCCGGACATGTCCGTCTGACCGGCATATTATGCACGGACTGGTTTTAATGAAATGTATATGCGCCCTGGATGATGGTACGCAGAAACCTGTACACTACATGTGTGTTTTTGTGTTACAGTGATGGCCTTTGTTACCTATGTACTAGTAGCAGGCATAGTGATGGGAACACAGAACAGGTATATCAACATGTGCTTCTTGTAATTTCCTTGTTTAACACTTCTCATATTTAGTTTGAGGAATGAAACTATATGAAAGACACTTTCCTCAAACAACAGTACCGTGTAAGCAAATCTTATGGTTGTTTCCACTTTTGAAGAGTGAATGTTTAGGATAAACTTAAAAGGCTATTTGTCGCAATACAAATTGTTATTTATGATTAAATCTAGGTGAATTATGATTTCCCTGTGCAGATGGATCTTTCTTTGTTCCTAGGAGTAGGTGATGTTGATAATTCAAGAAATTAAATATGCATTAACAACATAATTTTTGCGATTGTACATATTACAGGTTCACACCGGAACAGTTGGGAACACAGGCGAGCACAGCCCTAGTCTGGATCATCTTGGAACTGGTGGTGTTACTATTTACCTTCTATGTGATGCACATTAACACAGACCTCAAATACCTTGACATCCTTGCCTTCTGTGGATACAAATTCTTGGGGTATGAGTGTTATATTATCTTTATCCCTGATTGGTAGATTTAGGCTATATTTATATTACCTTCATTGTGATGACCATTAACACAGACCTCAAATACCTTGGAATTGACATCCTTGCCTTCTGTGCATACAAATTTTTGGGATATGACTGTAATATTATCTTTATCCCTTGATAGATTTAGGCTACATTTCCATGCCCGATCTCTGTTGGTTGAAGTGCTTTTCATGCCGCTGCCATGGTTGGAGCTTTTGGTAATTTATTTGGAATTAGAATTTCATTCACTAAGTTCTCTGGAATATCATTGTTTGATTTGGTTGAATTAAAAAAACTGTAATTCAATGAAGGTTTTACAATTACATGACAGTAGCAGACAATTGTTTTATGTGAACAAAAAGTTTCGTCCAATATTACTACAAATGTAGATTAGCGACCGTATTTAAACATTTTACCTGGCAATTTTCATGAAATGCTGCAATTGATGACTTGTGAAATTTACAAGAAACATGTTATGTCTTTCGGGTTAGCCCATTATAGTATAATCTTTATCATTTTTTTACAACAATTATGAAACAACTTATTTCAACTTACCAGTATATTGATGAGGAAACCGTAGAACCCGGAAAAAACCCATGTGGTCGGGCAGGTGATCCCATACCTTTTCACGTCCAATCGGGGAATCAAACCCCGGCTGCCTTGGTGAATGGCAAGCGCGCTATCCACTGCGCCACCCGACCACCAGCCCATTTATGTAGTAGGCTGGGTCAGAAGAAGAGGGTTTGCCACCCAAATGACTTAGGCTTGAGTAATTTAAAATGTTTTACAATCTGTACATGTGTACACAAGGTTTGGAACATAAATCTAGAACCAAACCAGTGGCCATTAGTCAGCTCCTATAAACCCACCTTCCAGTTCTTTTCTCTTGATAAGTCAAAGTGTTCGGAAAGACCCACAACCAATGAATGACAAGTCATAATGTAAGATTTCAGTTATAATTGCAGTTCATAAAGAATGTACTGGGTTAGAATGAAGCAGCTTTAGAGGCTAATACATTTTATTATTAAAGTCAGGAATAGGAATTAAACATCCATTAAATAAAGATAGGACATTGTATGACTAACTGATGTCATTGTTTACAGGATGATCGTGAGTCTGTTAGCAGGGTTGCTGTTTCAATCTACAGGATATTATGCTGTCCTTTTATGGTTTAGTTTATCTATAGCTTTTTTCTTGGTAAGTCATAGTCGGTTCACATTTATTCGTGTTCATTGCAAATTGTTAATTTCAAAAGATAGCAACCAATATCAAATTGATACCCATATAGATTTGTCTAAAATTTTACTTGAAGGACCATGTAATATGAAACTTTTTTTGATATTAAGTATTTAAAAAATAATGTAAGCCCAGGTTGAAATTACTATATCTGGTACCTGCATATGATTAACTCTGTTAAATTTGTTAAAAATTACTTGACATAAACATTGTTTCCTGGTTTTGCTATATTTCTCTCATAGCTTTAATGATTATTATACCCAGTGAAATTATTTTATTGCAGATAAAATCATTACGAGTTCAAATATTACCTCACGCAGAAGGAGACGGTTTCTCAAAGGGAAATAAACGGAGCCTTTACCTGATTCTGTGTATATCTCTAGTGCAACCTTTCATGATGTGGTGGTTGACCAGTCATATCATGTTTGTCAGGAAATGATGGCTGCCTTGCTGAAACCAACTCCATGAATGATAAACTTGATAAAGAGAATGAACATGATGATGTGTGTAGTGTCATTTTGGTAGATGTATAACAGGTTACCTCGCCAAACAGACAAAAGATATTTCAATTTTGGCAGGTGCTTGTATTGTAGTATGAAGTGGGGACATGTCTTGTTCGCCTGTCATTTTTGCTAACACAACAAGATATCTGTAGAGTTCAAATATTTTGTCCTGTTAAACAAAGTACTTCATGCTGAAAATGAGGTGAATGAATTTCTGCATAGATTTACTACGGAATTTTGTCCCTTTCATTATCATGACTACAATACATTAATCAATAAAGTAAGAATTTGAGATACCGGTAATGTACTAAAAATAATGTGCAGAAAAGTAAGAATTTGGAATATTGTACTGAAAATAATGTGCAAAAATGGCAACTGCCTGAATTGGAATGGACGAGCTGTATACATGTATATACATACATTTGAACATTCATGTACCATACATCATTTGATGTGGATGCTCTATACGTCAAATGAAAAGTGCTGTTATTGTGTGCTCTATCATTTTCTGTAAATTGTTATTTGATTGTCTAGGTTCTTGCTTGACAATAAAATATTTGGTAAAAATAGCCAAAAGTACCTGGTTATGGCATGAGCCTCCAATCAGAAGTGTATGTGTTTACATTGTACAGTGTAGGATCTGTGAGGATGCTCCCATCAGAAGTGTATGTGTCTACATTGTACAGTGTAGGATCTTTGAGCATGCTCCCATCAGAAGTGTTTGTGTCTATGCTGTACAGGGTAGGATTTGTGAGGATGCTCCCATCAGATGTATATGTGTC